GGTTGAGCCATAGGCGCCGAGCCAATATCATGATTTTTGTTTTTTGGTTTTTTGGCCGGGGCTGGGTTTGAACCCGCCACCTCCGGCATATGGGACCGGCGCCCTAGCCTTTTGAGCCACAGGTGCCACCCCTGGGTGGCATATTTATTTTCTATTCCAGAGTGCTCTGGCCTTGGCGGGCTCCCACCCGCCCAGCCCCAGGGTGGCCCCTGAGTGGCCAGCCTGCCTTGGTGTGGGCCTTGCTGCCCCGGGACACCCTCCCCACTGGCTGCCCGAGCTGCGCTGCCCCCGAGGTCCGGCTCGCCCTGCCGTGGCCCTGTGAAGTGGAACAAAGTCACGTGGACACACACACCTCTTCTCCTCCTCCTCTCCAGCATCCCCTCTGGAGCGGCAGCAGAAACAGGTAAACAAAGGAACATGTCAAAGTCATGCAAGATATGTGGATGAAAAAAGAGAACAAGCAGAAGGAGGGTTATTCCAGGCAGAAGCGAGAGGGACAGAGTGAGACAGGGTACTGGAAATCAACTGACTTCCTAGAAGCTTCAGAACTAAAGAGGCAAAGCCCATTCGCCTAGAAGCATCTAAGCATCTCCTTTGTTCTGGTCTCCTGGCAGGGCACAAAATTCCTTTCCGAGTCCTCGGGCAGCGTCTCTGTGTCTTACCGGCTCCCTGGGCCCCCTCTGCCACCTGGGACAACATGCCCACGGCAGGTGCTGTGGGACTCAAGGCAGTCCCCACCCCCCTGAGGGTTGTAGCTGCCCCTGGGAGGATTCCAGTGAGATGCGCCTGAGCTCGGGCAGCAGGAGCTTTACCCAAGCTGCGATCATCTGCTTGCTCTCCTGACAGGGAGGAAGGTCAGGGGTATCCCCAGCATTAGATAGGGAGGGCTTCGCTTTATTAAGGAGGCTTCAAAGTCATGGGACTGGGGGCTCCCCCTGGAGGGGCCGCTGTGCCCTTTCTGCCCAGGCGCTGCACACAGCAGACAGCATCTCTTCCTGCTACGGCCAGAGGGAGAACCCGGCACTGGCTCCCTGGTGTTGGTGAGAGCCCCTCCCTCACTGCTGCTGCGTGCCTTTCAAGACGGTCCCCAAAGGAGGCTTCTGCAGTGGGAAGCTGCAGCCCCAAGTGGAAGCTGGGAGCAGAGTGGTTAGCTGTGCTTCCCAAAGCGGTTAGCTGTCGGGTGCAGAGCCTGCGGTGGCGGCCAGCCCTACATCCCTGGACTCTGTTGCAGGGCCGTGTCCCTGGGATTCTGATTTTGTGCGGCGAACAGCAGGGTGAATCTGGGGTAGGGGGTCCTGATGGCCTCATTCTGTGGGAGCCTGCACTTTGAGGAGGGTCAGGCCAAGTCATGCCAGAGCCCAGACAGAAAGCACCCATGCAGGCTGAGCGCCCCACCCACGAAGCTGTGCACCCCAGGACCCCCCAGGCAGCTTGCGGGGCACGGGACCACGAGGGGTGATGGAAACACAGACGTGTGTTGACTCAGCTGCTCTTCCGCTCTCCTCTTCAGAAACCGGACACTAAAGCCACTCCCTGGTCCGGGGCCACACTTGCTCCTACCTGGTAGTGGGAGATCGCTTTCTCCTCTCACAGTGGACAGCGTCAAAAAAGGCCGCATTCCAGAACCTCAGTGTGTGCCTGTAAGACAGAGCCGGGTGAGGCTCTCCCTGGGGTTGGGGGAGGACGCCAGGCTCAGGTTCTCGGGGCGGGGCGGGGGGGAGGAGTAGAGTCTGTCACATCTGCATGAGCTTCAAAAAAGTCTGAGAGAGGTAGAGGTGAGGAAAAAAAGTGAGCATATGACTTTTATCTAGACAAAGATGTTTGCCAGGGCTCCCAGCACCTGCAGCTCTCTCAGGGGAGATGGCACAGATGGGAGTGCTAACAGGAGAGGGGTGCAGGCAGGATGCAGGGCCGGGAACCCTGGATTCAGCAGGTGAAACCTGAAGCTCCCTCCTATATGATGTAGAAGGAGGTCATTTTCTGCTTCTTTCTTTGTCCACTGAGACTCCCAGGAGGAAGCAGAGGCCTGCGGAGGTGTGCTTTTCTAGAACTGGGCCTAGTAACACAGATGGGAACCCAGCAGGGACGCGCCATGTGCAGAGAGAACTAACATGTGCCCAGGGACCCATGAGTAAGAAAACTTCCTCTTGAAAAGGATCGGGGCAGGGGTGGGGGGGCCAACTTGTGTGTGGGCTGAAGCTGGCCCTCTGCCTGCATCTGTAAATAAAGCTTTATCGGCACGCAGGCATGCTCATTCAGTTTGCTATCAGTGATGAGGATTTGCACTGCAGCAGCACAGCTGTGTGACTGCAACAGAGACCATATGGCCACAAACTCTAAAATATTTATTATCTGGCCCTTTACAGAGACATTTGCCAAGCCATGTTCCAGAGGGTAAGACTACAACAAGGTCAAGGACCAGAGGGGTGGGGCCAAATCACTGGACAAGTGGAACACAGCTGGTCACTTCCTCCCCTTCTAGGCTTCTGTGTGAGCCTGGACCAGCTCGGGTCCAGCCTCCTCCTGGGTCTTCCTGACAGCTCATCCCAGCTCTGTGCCCTTTGGGTCCCTGTAGCATTTCCTGGGCATGGTCTTCACCTCAGATGACCCCTGCTTTGTTAAAGGTTAGGGTTAGGGCCACTGCTAATACAGCGTGATCCTGGGGGAGGCCATGCCTAACGCCTGGGCACCAGGAGTTGGTACAACATGGTGTTAAGAGAATTCAGGGGCATTAAGGCTACACTGACCACCATCCACAGAGCCGGATGATGGGCAAGCTCTCTCCTGACCACTGGTGTCACATTATAACCATGACCTTCATTTTTTTTTTTTTTTGAGACAGAGCCTAGCTGTCCCCCTGGGTAGAGTGCCGTGGCATCACAGCTCACAGCAACCTCCAACTCCTGGGCTCAAGCGAGTCTCCTGCCTCTGCCTCCCAAGTAGCTGGGACTGCAGGCGCCCGCCACAACGCCTGGCTATTTTTTGGCTGCAGCCGTCATTGTTGTTTGGTGGGTCAGGCTGGATTTGAACCCGCCAGCTCAGGTGTATGTGGCTGGCGCCTTAGCTGCTTGAGCCACAGGCGCCAAGCCAAACCATGACCTTCATTTTTTGATATATATGTAATACCTTAACTAGAATGTAACTCATATATGATAAAATTCACCCTCCAAAGTATACAGTTTAGGGATTTTTAATGTGTGGCCACCCCTACTACCTACTTCCAGAATGCTTCTGTCACCCCATGAAGAAACCCCACCCCTGGTAGTGGTCACCCCCTGTTCTGCACCCCCACCCAGGCACTCACGAATGTACTTTGTCTCTAGGAATTGGCCTGTTCTGGACATCTCATGTAAACGGAATCAGACAGCATGAGACCTGCTGTGCCTGGCCCCTTCTGTGCACGCCCTGCTTTCAAGGCTTGTCCCTGTGTAGGTGTCAGGGCTCCTGACGAGGCAGGGACAGCCCACCCTCTGCTCATCCGCTCGGCACTGGGTGGCCATGCAGGCTGTTTCCACTTCCACGCTGTTGTACGAGGATGCTGGGGACATGGGCACAGGTTCCGTCGAGGCAGTTGCAGCTTTTGTGGGTGCTGACTGAGGGTGGGTCTGCCAGGTTGCAGGGTAACTCTATTTAACCTCGTGAGGAGCTGCACAGCCTCCTAAGTGAGCCACAGTGGCCACCTCACTGCACAGCCCCCTCACTTCACTGCCCTGCCAACAGCGAGCGAGGGTCTCCGACTCCTCCACATCCCTGCCCACACTCACTGGCCTTCGTCTTTTCTATTCTGGCTCGGCTGGGTGTGGGTTACCGTTATGCAGACAGAGACTGAGCAGCTGGAAGAGCCTTGGGCAGGGGCTGCTGCCCTGTGGGTAGGGAGGTGACGACGGGGCCCAGCCTTACCAGATGGGCTGCTGCTTCAGGTGCGTGTACAGGTAGATCTTGTCCCCTTTCTTCTCGCCCTCTGGGCTGCACACGGTCACTGCAGCAGGAGGAGAGCAGCTGAGGGCAGCTCTGACCTTGCATCTCCCCTGTGTCAGCAAGCACCCCCCTAGCAATGGATGCCTTCCCGGACGTTCCATGGAATGGCTAGCCCTCAGCAACACTGCACTTAACTTCCCTAGGATCCAGGAATCGAGCTCTCATGCCCTCTTTGGGAAGGTGGCTCTTCCACAGAAACTCAGTAAGAAAGGAGGGACCACAGAGGCGGAGAGCCACTTGGGCACACCTTAAGGCCACTCTCCCATGTCCCAAAGAGGGAAGCAAAGCCCCCAGACGTTCCCAGACCTGCTTTGTTCGGTTGGGGTTCGTGGGGGGCTAGTCTGAGCCTCTCTGGGGCCTGGTGCTGGGCCCCAGGGAGCCCCACAGGGACAGAAGGGGGCACGGACTGACCTGTCCTCTGCTGCTTCTCCTTGGGCTTGCTCTCATCGTCCCTGTGGGGGAGATCACAGTAAGGACAAATGTGACCCACCGGCGTTTTCTCAAACCAAAGGCGATGTTCTTACATTTCTAAGGACACGTAAGAACGTGGCTGTGCTTTCCAGGGGCAGCTCCTGCCCTGGAGAAATGGCTCTCCCATTTCATGTGGTTTTCTCTAAAAACATTTTTCTGAAACGGAAGCTCTATTGGTCAATTCCAGAGTTTGCAACGGAGGAAGGGTGATGCTGAGGGTCTTCAATGTCATTTTCTTTGAATCTAAAACTGTCCAGACCAGAGCAGGAACAAAGCCCAGTCACCGGGTGGGCCCAGGCCATCAGCAGTCACACCTGCCGTGGGCTCCTCTGGCTGCCGTGCCCCCTTCCTGCGGAGGGCTTGGCTTCTCCACACCTGGTCCTAACATGCCCGCTCCACACGGCTCCTGACATTTCTGACAGGGACCTGTTTGTGGGGACAGTGTCTTCTCCTGCAGCCAGCCCCCGCTCCATAAACTTAGCTCCACCCCACTTAGAGCGAGGAGGAAAGGGGGGCTTCTGTCCTCAGGGACTAGCCCTGCATGTGGTGACCTCTGGGGCCCCAGAGCCAAGCTGGGCCCGTGGCTGTGCTGTCCAGGAGCAGCTCCTGCCCCAGAGAGTGGTTCTCCCATTTTCACGCCAGCGTTCTCCCTGCCACTCTCTACACGGGGCCCAGAGACCCCATGAGGTGACACTTACTCATTTTTCCTGATCAGGGGGCCCTTCAGCTTGGTTTCCAGCCCCCCGAAGAAGCCTTTCACATTCTCTGTCCGAGCCGACGTGTTCTTCAGCAGCCGCTCGGCTATGTCCTTCTTCTCTGCCAGCCAGCTGTTGGCCGACCTCAGGTAGGAGTCTACACTCCCTGCAGGCTTCTCCTTGGCTTCTGATGGGGGCAGCTGTGGTTTTCCTTGAAAGAGGGGAAGGAAGAAGGATGGGCAGAGAGTAAGAACGTGTACACAGAACCACCCACAGAGGGACGGAGGTAAGCTCCCTTGACATCCTGGGGCAGCTGCAGGTAGCAAAACCCACAGTACTCAACCCCACGGACAAGGCTGCAGCCTCTTCTCTCTCCAGAAGTGTTCCCAAGCACTTGCTGTGTCCAAAGAAGTCGTCCAGGATGCAGGAGGGGCCAGCCCCAGGAAGCAGAGTGTGGAAGGGAGCTGGGGGCTGTGACACGTGTCCTGACTGCAGCAATGGAGGCATAGCCAGATGGGGAGGGGGAAGGAGTTTTCTCAGTGGCGAGGAGGACAGGGAAGATTCTAGACAGGCTCAATACCCCCTTGACTGGGCCTGGAACAGGTGGGTGTGGGACATGGGTCGTGGGGCAGTGGTGGGAGGAGGGTGGCCTGGAGAAGGAGCCTTGGCAGCACCAGAACTCCCTCGCTCGGCTGTGGCAGACCCACAGCCTCAGGTGTCCCCACAGGCCGGGTGCACTGTCCTCTACTAACTAAAGTGGCCCTGTGTACAGACACATCTCAGGCAAGCAGTGCCAAGTGGGGCTCTGGAAAGGAGAGGCCAAAGACTGTAAGAGGGACTTCCACCTGACCAGACGGAGCAACCTATGGCATGAGATGAAGGGCGTGGCTGGCCCTTAGTTACAGCCATCAGTTGTTTCTGATTGAAATGAGGGTGTGGGGAGGATGGGCCATTGGGAGGAGAGGGTGAAGAGGGTTGCAGAAGGAAGGGGACACAGGAGAGTGAGCATGTGGGTCCTGAGAGAGGAGGCTTGTGCCACCCTGCCCCAGCTCCAGTCTACCTTCCAGAGATAGTGGCCCGGATAAGTAAGTCTCTGCGGCTGCAAGCCAAGAAGGTCAACATGGGGAGCCCTCAAGCTCCAACGTACCAAAACATTCTGATGCAATGAGCTGGAAGACCTGTCCCAGCCTCCGCATCAAGAAAAACCTGCTCTCTTCACAGGCTGTCTTTGCCTCCCCGCAGCTTAGGATTGGGGCTGCCCCTCCCACCTCCCTTAGCCAACTCCAAGTGGTTTTTGCTAAAACATTAGACTGATGTCAGCAATTCCTGTCTGCACAGTGACTGTCATGCCTAGTGGGTGCATTGTCTCATCTCCTAGCAGTCTGTGCTTTCCTTCGAGCTGTGGACAGCCACGGTCTGGACCACGCACTCTCCTCCCGCTCTCTGCTCACTCCCTCCATAGCATCCACCTGCTTCCTCTGTTCTCTGAGAGCCCTGGAACTTTTGCCCCAGATCTGAACAAAGCTTCCTCTGAGGCCGCATTATTGGTTGGCCGGTCCCGAGTTCCCCCTCTGACCTGCGCGTGAGTGGAGCCCGCCTCTTACCGATGTGGTAGTAAGTGAAGCACATGGTCATGAGGTTCTTGGCCGGCCCAAAGTCATCCATCTGATAGCACCTGGAATAAGAGGAGGCCCAGCTGGATGAAGAATCCTCCCCCACGCCCCCTTCTCACTGCACATTCATCAGACATCTTCAAACTGCTTTACGAATAGGCCTAAATTAGGTCCTGGCTCCCACGATGCCACCACAGGATGAACAACAAATATAACCCCTCTGGGTTCAACCAGCTGAGCCACCCACAGGCAGGCGGCCGAGGACGGGGCTGGTTCTGGACAGAAAGGAGCTCACGGTCTCTCCGCCAGCCTCTTCCACTTTAAAAGTAAAAACTAAGAGGTTCGATGCAGCTCAGAGCAGGGCCAGGACTTCCCATGACAGGCCCGGGCCATATGCTCTGCCTTGCTTCTCAGCAGCCACCAGCTCCTGGACTGCTCCAGCCTGGCTCTCCTGCCTCAGGAGCGCCCAGATGCCCCTGAGGGCAGATGAAGACAGGGGCTGCTGGGCCATCCCAGGGTCTCCAGCTTAGTCTTCAGGAAAGGACCTTCCTTAGATTTTAGGCCTTTCTAACCTGCTCCCTTTACACTTTTCTTCCTGATTAATTTTGAATCTTAGATAATTATTATTTTTAAAAAGTCAACAGAAATGATATAGACCAGGGGTCCTCAAACTTTTTAAACAGGGGGCCAGTCCACTGTCCCTCAGACTGTTGGAGGGCCGGACTGCAGGCCCCGGGATGAGTCGGCTGCTAAGCAGGACAGGTAGTGGCGGCAAAAACACCCAACGGGCCGGATAAAAATGTCCTAGGCGGGCTGCACGTGGCCTGTGGGCCGTAGTTAGAGGATGCCTGATGTAGACTGTGGGATTAAGGGCCATTCTTATCTTTTAACATTAAAAAATAATCTCATCAGGCTGGTGCAGTGGCTCACATTTGTAATCTGAGCACTCTGGAAGGCTGAGGCAGGTGGATTGCCTGTCTTCAGGAGCTCAAAACCAGCCTAAGCAAGAGCAAGACCCCGTCTCTACTAAAAAAAAAGTCAGCCTGGCACTGGGGCAAATACCTACCTGTAAGTCCCAACTACTCAGGAGGCTTAGGCAGGAGGATTGTTTGAGTCTAAGCATTTGAGGTTGCTGTGAGCTGATGCTATGGCACTCTACCCAGGGCGACAGACTGATGCTCTGTCTCAACAGCAACAACAACCCCCGCCTCCAAAATCAATTTAAAGAACTCAACTACTAATAACACTATAAAAGACTGGATAAAAGTAAAAACTAAAAATTCCAATAAGCTAAAAATTATAAAATTCATAAATAAAAAATAGATTTAAAAAAATAATAAAAGGTTTTTTACTTTGTTTCTGCAACTCTACAAAATTACATGTGCTCAGGGACAAAGGGATGGGAAATTTTTGTGTGTGTTTTGCAGTGTTGGGAGTTGAATTTATCTCCCCCCCCCAATTATATTTATTTAAGGAAAAGTTCAAAGAAAAATCAAGGATTAGGTATGTTACCACATATGACAGGTGCAATCTCTGCAAAAGTGGGGGTAAGGAAAATCTCTACACCTGTCTGGAAGTTGCGGCGTTTTAAATGCACGAGAGAATGTGGCCTAAGGGTTGTAACTCTTGGCTGAAGGCGTGGGCTCCCCCAGCTTCTCTCAGGACGGCTTCTCCTCCTTCCCTCTGGCCAGCTCTGAGGCCCAGACCCCTGATGGAAATGGACCCTGGACTTGGAATACTCTGAGCAAGAGCAGGGAAAAGGGATCCTCCCCTGGGTTAGTCTTTTTCTTCCAGTATCTGTCCCATGTTCAAGGGGAAATTGAGAAAGGTGAGTGACGGGAAGAAGCTGGGAGTTAAGATTCTAGGTAGCAACTACCTTGAAGAGTTTTTCATCCCCGGAGGACAGAAATGGGCCTGGCGACATGGGGAGGTGGTAGTAGGAGAAATCAGAGACCTCCAGAGGTGAGCGGGGCACAGATGCAGCCAGATCACGGCTCCTCCCCCCAGACCCCTGCCTATCTGTAGAGGAGGCTCCAGGTCATCAGGGCCACAGCTCAGCTTCCCCAAACCAGAGAAGTGCCCCTCCATTTCACAAACTGAACTGGTCACTGGCCAAGAGTCAAGTCCTACAGGTGTGAGGCGGGTCTCCGCCCTGGGCAGCCATGCACTTGAGAAGGGGCCTGTGAAACAGGGGGTCCGGCTCCCTCATCTGACAGGGGAACAGAGGCGGAGGTGGGGCTGGTCCCAAATCTCAGGCTTACAGCCACGACCCCACCCACCACCCCAGCTGCCTGCTGACAGCTTTCCTAATAACAGCCCCAGCCGTCCCCAACTCGTGCTCAGAAAGCAGGCCACAGTCCCCCACACATCATTAAGTGTTTATTCCAGGGAGGGCTGGGCAGCTGTCAGGTTTGAAATGCCTCACAACAGGAAATGGAGAGAGCTTGTCCTCCAACCCCTGCCCCCAGGAGGGGGAGGCACAGCAGGTGATCTGGGCCTGTCCCTGAGGACAGCAGGGGCAGCTTCTCATACTCTGCTGCTCCTTCCTCCCTTTCTATGCCAGGTGAGGCCGCTGGCTCTGCTCCCGGGGATGCTGGCCACAGCTCCCCTTTTAGCTGATGCTGGGCGGATCAGAGTGATCTCGATCTCGGTCTGATGACTCATGTGGACATTACTCACAGCAGCAGGGTAATTACAGGCGGGAAAGGGGAAAGTGACTCCTTAGGACAAAGGCTGAGAGCCTTGCAAGACTTACTCGAACAGCACCACTGCGAAAGACTGCACCAGGCGGTAGAAGGTTGCTTCTGAGACACACTTGGAGTTGCAGCGCTGTCCAGAAAGAGGCCGGATACACAGTAAGGGACAGGTGGCACGTGGCACTTGGGGAGGCTGCAGGCTTTCCACCCTCCACATTCGTAAGTGCAGCTGGGATGGGCCACCTGGGCAGCCAACTCTTCGCCTGCCCTGCATGACCCACCAGCCTCCCTTCCCGCCAGGCCCGGCAGCACGTGACACCATCCTTGCTGGCAGGGCACGCGGGGTGCAGACACTTCACACACTCACCCACACTTGGAAAAGTGCAGAGAGCAAAACCCAAAATGACAGCCTGGCTGCTTCTGGATTGGGGATTTATGGGTAGTTTCCCTTTAGTATCTCTGCACTTCCTAATTTTTCAATGAAAAACAAATTATTTGTGATAAAATACTTAAAAATTAAGAACTTAAGCCACTCCACAGGAAAAAAAAAAAAAGAGTGCATTGGCTAGTTATAAAATTTAATTCTTTTCTGACCTGTGTTAATACACTTCTCTTTCCCTTGCAGTGAGACACCCAAGTGAGTTATCTCCCATTTCCCCCGCTTTCTACACCGTCCTTTCAGAACCTCTTTGGATGGGTTTGACCTTTTTCTCTTCAGTCACTTCCCTGCATCTGCGTCTGCTCCGCAGAGAGAGGACAGGGCGCAGCAGGGCTGAGCCACACACCTCCTGATCCTCCTGGTCGCCTTCTCACCTGGGCGCTGACGTAGCGAGCAAACCACTCCCGGCCTTTTCCGTTCTCACTGCTGCAGTACTCGCCAAACTTGGCTTTCTCCTCCTGGTCCAAGTCCTCCCTAAAAAAAAAAAACAACACACCTTTCAGTCTTGTGAAGCAAATAGAAAGGTTATAGTAGGGGAAGAACCAAGAAGAGGAACTATGGAGCGTCACAGCTGCCAAGCACAGCTCTGACAGGTCACCTCGCCCTCCGGCAATCCCGTGAGGAAAGGCTATTTTTATTTCAAAGATGAGGGGCCTGCCTTGGCGAAGGAGAAACAGCTCGAGAGTGGTGAATCCGAGTTCTATCCAGACTTCCTGCTTCCAAAGCCCACGTTCTTGTCTCTTACCCTCCTGCCCCTGCTCAGAGAGGTGCGGACCTTGGCTCTCCAGCTCACCCTGCTTCCTTCCGAATCAGATGCAGAACTCAGGGATTCCCGACTCTGCTGTCTTAGCCAGTGCACTGAAGCCAGGTGCTCGTTCCTCTGCATCTGTGCAGAGTGAAGCTGCCCACCTGTCCAGCCATTCCCTGCTCTGTGCATGAGGGTCAGAGATGGGGGACCCTCGGCCTCTCGGTCACCATCGCCAAGGTAGATAAAATGCTCCCCTGATTGCAAACCACTTCTGAGCCTCTTTGGAAGGCGCCAACACTTTCCAAACTTAAAGACTCAAGCAGAAGACCGAAGATCAATTGGCTTACCCAATTTTCATTTATTTAAGGTTTTTCTTTTTCTTTTATTTATTTTTTGAGACAGAGTCTCATGATGTCGACCTCGGTAGAGTGCCATGACGTCATAGCTCACAGCAACCTCCAACTCTTGGGCTTAAGCGATTTTCTTGCCTCAGCCTCCCAAGTAGCTGGGACTACAGGTGCCCACACAACACCCGGCTATTTTTGGTTGCTATTGTCGTTGTTTAGCAGGCCTGGGCCGGGCTTCAACCTGCCAGCTTTGGCGTATGTGGCTGGCACCCTACTCACAGATACAGGGGCTGAGCAGTATTTAAAGTTTTTAGAAAATATCTTGGTCTCATTTATCCCAAATACTGACACTAGATGACTGTGTGAATTTGACAGCCATGTGCAGTGAACACTGGACGATTCTGAAGACATGTCTAGCTCAGCCTTCCTGGCCGTCAGCAGACGTCGGGGCTCCCCCTTCTCTTTAACTGGGGTGTGCTCAGGGAGACCTGACTAATTTCAACATTGGTCAAACAAAATACGTAGGGCACCACACCTGCTGCTCTGCCGAAACATGTTCAGATCCAGCATCAGTGCCTTCTGGACAGTTAAACATTTGGATTCGCACATAGTTCCCCCCTTTTCTAAGAACCTGGAAAACGGAGGCAGGACTCCACCGAGTGAGCAGCACGCCTGGAAAAGGCAAAAATCAACCCTGGACAGAGGAGGAGCCTCAGTCCCAACTCTTTGATTTGTGGGTTAACAGGCAACAATTCATGTTGCTTTAATGAAACTGGAAAACTGGCCCTTCAGCCAGTGCTTCTCAGCCTTTGATGTGTGCGTGAATGCTCTACAGCCCTTGCTGAAATGCAGATTCTGACTCAGTGGGGCTGGGCAGGGCCCAAGACTCCACATTCCTTTTTTTTTTTTTTTTTCTGAGACAGTATCTCACTCTCCCTGGGTAGAGTGCTGCGGCATCATCATAGCTCACAGCAACCTCAAACTCCTGGGCTCAAGTGATCCTCCTGCCTCAGCCTCCTGAGTACCTGGGACTACAGATACCCGCCACAACACCTGGTTAGTTTTTCTGTTTTTTGTTGAGATGGGATCTTGCACTTGCTTAGGTTGGTATTGAACTCCTGAGTTCAAGCAATCTGTCCACCTTGGTCTCCCAGAGTGCTAGGATTACAGGCATGAGCCACTGTACATGGCCAGGACTCTGCGTTTACTAATGAGCTCCCAGGAGACTGGCCACGGACAGCAGTCTGAGCAGCCTGACCTGCGGTCCTTCCTGAGCTGCCATGAATGATGAGAGCCCAACAGTCCCCGTGTGAGCCATGCAGCTGGGCCGTGTCTGGGGGGTCCACTTCCACGGGCTGAGATATTAATGGGCAGCCTGTCCACAGAGTCCCACCTCACAGTCCACATCACAGCCCTGCATTGTCACTTCTATATTTATCTCCTTGAGAGCCATGACAGAAAGGCTGTAAGGAGGTGCGAGGAAGGGTCCCCCGCACACAGCTGCCCATGAGTGTCACAGGAGTCCAGTGCCCAGAAGCTTGTTCCTTACGCTGTCCCTATGCTAACTTCGGCAGGTGATCACAGCCTCCCAGCCAACCCCCAGCCTGACAAGACAAGGAGCACTGACGGCAGCTCACCTGGAGATGCTCGGGGGGCACAGACACAAAACATGTGGAGTTGCCCTTGGACTTGGCAACAATGAGACAAGTGTCAGCAGGTCGTCAGAGCGGTGAGGGGAAGAAACCAGCACAGACAGCCCCTTCTGCGACCCAGTTTGGGAACACATAGTCGAAACTCTGGAGCAACTCTGGGTGCCAGAAACAGAGCTACGGGGATTACAGGGGATCTGCGCTTTATTTTTTGAGACAGAGTCTCAAGCTGTTACCCTGGGTAGAGTGCTGTGGTATCACAGCTCATAGCAACCTCAACCTCTACCCAGGGAGAGTAAGACCTCTACCCAGGTAGTGTCTCATCAGAAGCTTACAACAACCTCAAACTCCTGGGCTCCGGTGATCCTCCTGCCTCAGCCTCCTGTGTAGCTGGGACTACAGGTGCCCGCCACAGCGCCTGGCTATTTTTTTGTTGCAGTTGTCATTGTTGTTTTAGCAGGGCTGGGCCGGATTCGAAACTGCCAGCTTCAGTGTATGTGGCCAGTGCCCTACCCACTAAGCTACGGGCACTGCCAGCGGATCTGCACTTTAGAAATGATTTTCTCTCTGTTTTGTAACAAGCACGTATGGCCCACACAGAGGCCACTGTGGAGAGTACAGTGACAGTCGTGTCTCATCCTGCTGCTCCTCCCCAAAGGGCCTAGCAGAGGAGAAAGTTTTAGAAAGAAAACAGAGGTGCAGCACATGGGTGAGCCACTCCCACAGTGTCCCAGCGCTGGCTGGACTGCAAGGGTGAGGGACAGGGGCCACTCCCTCTGCAGTCGCACCTGGCACCGGCCAGCTTGAGCCCAGCACTTTGGCGAGCTCTTTCCTGGTCGTTCCTGGCACAGCTGCCCTTCAGAGCCCCTGAAGGGACCATGCATATGTTTAAATGTTGTGTTTGGGCCGGCATGGAGCCCAGGCTCAGGTGTTCTTTAAAAATTCCCCAGCCCCACGCTGGGGCAGGGGGAGAGGCATCACAGAGCAAAGGGAAGCCCTGGCCCAGGCGTGTCCTGGTGAGAGGGAAGGGGGTCCCCTCGGACCTGGAGCTCACCCCACTCACCCCTTACCCTCCGGAGAAGATCTTTTCCACGTAGCTGCGCATGAACTCCCGGAGTGCCAGGGTCTCCTCGTCCTGGGCCGACTCGGTGCTCTGGCCTGAAGAGAAGGACTCGTTGGAGGAGGAGCGGTGGTCCTGGTCCCAGGACGGGTGTGAGGGCGACTCGCCCATGTCGTTCTCGCTGTCTGCCGACTCTGTGGTCTCGCTCTCCGATGCGCCATCTCCCAGGGAGCCGTCCCCATCCTGCAGCGCAGGGGGCAGTGTCTCCAGGGCAGGCGAGGCAGGGGGCTCAGGCCCAAAGTCAATCAGTGAGCCCACGGGGACCTCCGGAGCCTCCATGGTCGGGTGGGCTGTGGGAGGATGCTGGAGGGGAGCCCAGGGGCCTGGCTGCTAGGGCGTCAGCAGGAAGGAGCCTCTGGAGCAGCTCACGTGGCCCTAAGGCATCTGGGATGGAAACACAGGGACAAAGGTATCAGCAGGACAGCACCACTCCTCACACGGGAAACTCAGCCACCGCAGTCCTGACTTAAATGAGTCAATTAGGTTGCACCTTCCCTGCAAAGGGAATAACATCTGCAGCTCCAGACTCGGGGAAGCTCTCCGTCCAGGCCACCCTTCTCCTGTGGTCTGCTTTACTGTTGAACACTTGGCACGCACTTGGCACTCGGTAGATACTTGTTAGATAAGTGAACAAACCCTAACCATCAGGATTTCTCTGGAGTGCTGCACTTGCTGGTCTCCTCCTCAGTCCAGCCCACCAGACGGATGCCCTTGCCAAGACCTAAAAGGCTATCCTGGGCTGGGACAGAGGAGCACCAGGGTTGATGTGCCTGCCCACCTGCTGTGGTTGGAATCGGTGGCTGCAGAAGAATCGCCCTGCTGAGCAACAGACACCTCAGCTCCCGGCCCCTTTCTCATCACCCGTCCTTCCACTCATGACACAGACTTGTCCTGGGTGTCAGAGCCGGGTCCCATAGCAGCATTCATCTCCCACCCTGCCATGGCTTCAGAGCACCGTTTCTCCATCCAGACCCACTGCTCCTGCCAGCCCCTCCCCTGTGCTGAAGCCACCATGGAAGTGACATTCCCCTTCCTGTTTCTGTGCCCTCACTCCGCAGGCTGATCCTCTCCCTGTCCCCCTCCTTCCTGCCCCGTACCCCATGAAACTCTATTTGCCCCTTACCCTGTGCCACATCTTCTGAGAAGCTTCACTCCACCCCCGTACACAGTTAATGACTGATTCTGCTGTTGGCACCACCCGCTCAGCATTTTGTTTGACTCACTTATTTATAATTCTGCTTATTTTACTGATATATAAAAGTATCTCTGTTTACCCACTGAAGTTTGCCCACACACACCCCAGGGGACTACGCCCTGGCCACCTCTGCAGCAACCCTAGTCCCCAGTGCAGACTCCTGACTAAGCGTCTGCCACACACCTGCTACTCAAGTGAACAGACCAGGTCACAAACGCGCCTGCAGGATGGGGCACCTGGGCAATGTGGGTCTTGCTGCACAGAGCAGAGAGGGGAAGGTTAGAATTGTCATTTCTAAACAGATTTGCAGCCTGCTTGTGCACGGGGCACTGGGGACCTTCCTCCCCCATATGAGGGACAGAAGATGGGTAAGATGTAAAAGCCCCCAGAGGGTCAGTCCTCGGAGAAGAGCACACCTCCAACCTCAGCCCTTCCCTGTCGGACCCGCGTCTCTCAGACAACACCCCCCAGAGGCGGCCATCAACACTGCTGAACTGGTCGTCCCTCCTGAGGACAATTTGGTAGCAGAATAGCATTTGCTGCCTCTTAAGAGCTTAATGTTCACCAATCCATTATAGATTTTCTTCAGATGTCCCAGCCAGGGGTATTTTTAAATGCCCTGAGTAAGGAAGAGGGAATGGCTGGCTCAAGGTCACTGGAGTGGTGAAGGCACACGTCCAGGGGGGCCCCACAAAGCCAGCCTCAGTGCAGAGAAGAGAAGCGGAACCCTCAGCTCAAAAGAACTTTCTAGGCCAGGACAGCTACAGGGGCTCTGATGTGCCCAGAGGGAGGCCGTTACAGAGCTGAGATCGAGAGCAGAGTGCGGCTAGTCTGGGCGTACTTTGGCTAACCGGGTCCCCTGGCCATGGGGGGCCCAAGTTCCCTCCATGGCCACATTCTCAGACTCCCTGAGGACCCAGTATGGCACCTGCACCAACATGTCTAGTAATAAAAATGGAAACCCACACATTAGGAAAATGTTGGCAGAATAGGAAAATTGAGTTAGTCATATCTGTTTTATGAAGTCACACAACTCTAAAAAATCTATATTCCAACAGATACACAAACCACTCACTAGGTAAGGCACACACACAAAGGAATAACAACCAGATCATTCTTTAACCCATGCTAATAACCACACACACAGACAGGCAAATTAAAGAATAAGGTACCATCTTTTACTATTAAACTAGCAAAAATTTAAAAAGAATACTCCAGTAGATCTACTGTTCGATCCTGCAATTCCTCTACTAGGTATATACCCAGATGATCAAAAATTTTTTTACAACAAAGACATTTGCGCCAGAATGTTTATTGCAGTCCAATTCATAATAGCCAAGACATGGAAACAGCCCAAGTGCTCATCGACCCACAGATGGATTAACAAATTGGGGTATATATACACTATGGAATACTATGCAGCCATAAAAAGATGGAGACTTCACATCTTTTATGTTTACCTGGATGGATCTGAAACATATTCTTCTTAGTAAAGTATCTCAAGAATGGAAAAAAAAAGTATCCAGTGTACTTAATACTATTATGAAATCAATATATAACCATCTACACACTCATACGAATGGCAAAACATAACTATAGCTCAGAAATTAGAAGGGAAGAGGAGAGAAAGGGGAGGGGTGGGGGGGATATGGGAGGAGGGAGGGTATTTGGGGGGACCTCACCTAATGTGCATGATGCAATAGTACATTTCAAACTATTACAAAATGGGTATAATTGTGATGGATGTTACTCAGTTCAATGTAAACATTTCATATTGTATACTGAAGCAGTACCCTGAACCCCATAAATGCATCAGTGTGCAATGTTATGATTTAATAAAAAATAATTAATTAAAATAAATAAAAAGAATACTCCAAATACTGGTCAAGTTCTGGTAAAACTAATAATCTTAAATGCTGCTGGCAACAGGGATAAGGGATGCTTTAAAAAGCAGTTTCTTACTTTCCTCTCCTCTGATTCAGGAATTCAAAGGCTTGGAATGTATCCTAAGAAAACAATTCAACTCCTCCCCCCAAAAAAACAGTTACATGGAGAAAAATGCTCACTGCCACAGTATTTATAATCCTGATAAGCTAGGGGGAGAAAAACATCTAAATATAATAAAGTAGCAAATAAGTTTTAACAATTTGATATAACGAATTCAGCGCGTGATGCAATTAGGATAATGTTCACTTGCTAATTAAGTAAAAAAATATTCTGTAGGCAGCACTTATTAACAGAGTGCCTACCCCTCGCCGTGCCCTGTTGTGGGCACAGGGAACACTGCCGTGAAGGAAATGTCACCATAACTACAGTTTTGTCAGGAAAGAGCACGGAGGTAACTCCCCTTCCATCTTCATTACCGTAACAGTGCAGTCAGCAAACCAGAACAATTCACAGGGAAAATGGAAACAAGATGCTGGACCTTGACACCCTCCCCGTGGCCAGAGGCCCCTCTATCTGCCACAGCACAGGAGGTTCCAGATCAAGCTGGATGATCATGATCATGGCTATTTCTGACCCAGCCCCAAGCGCTTTCAGGGGGGCTGGCCAGATGCTCCCCAGGGCCTTCCAGCACCTGGGAGCGTGACTCACCCTTCCCCAGGAGGCTGAGCGCCGAGCGCCTCCTCCCTGGGCTCAGGAAGGAGGTGGTAAAATCACAGGAGAGGCACAGAGTGAGAGGAAGCACAGTGGGCAGCAGGGGGCCAGTCCTGGGCACTGCTGGCTGCAGAGTACAGGCCCCAGGCTTGTGCAGGGCAGCGTCCACCCTCCCCTCCCACTCCCTCAGCTCAGGGATCTCATCTCTCTCAGGTCACTCACGGAGCCAGGATGACATGGTGAAGTGACCATGTGGGCTCAGGGCCTGGGAGACAAGCCCCACCCTCTTCCTTCAGGAAGGAAAGGTAATCCTGTACCCCTGGTAGCGCAAGTGATGGCCACTCTCACACTGCAGAATCATAAAGCTCACGTAGCTGCCTGGCCAGCGGCAGGACAAAGAGTGAGTGGGCCTGCAGAGACAACCTGCTCAGAGCCAGCCAGATGCTGCCACTTGGGAAGACAAGCCCAGCAGCATCAGATCTTCTAGAGCAGCGGTCCTCAACCTGCAGCAGTCCTTTGGGGGTCGAACGACCCTTTCACAGGGGTCACCTAAATACATCCTGCATATCAGATATTTACATTACAATTCATAACAGTAGCAAAATTACAGTTATGAAGTAGCAACGAGAATAATCTTATGGTTGGGCGTCACCACACATGAGGAACTGTATTAAAGGGTTGTGGCATTAGGAAGGTTGAGAACCACTGTCGTAGAGTTTCTAAGGACTACTGAAATCCATTATGGGAAATCTTCCAATTTTTCAACGCTGGCAACTAGTTTAAATGTATTTCAAAACACAGTGGGGGCAAAAACAAAACAAAACTGTAGATTGCACCCCAACGTATTTGCTTTGTTCTGCATACCAGGAGGCACCGAGATCCACTGCAGGTGCCCAGACTTTGAGAAACAGGGTTTCAATCTCCAAGGGATCTGTTGCTGCAGAGAGCGGGTATTAACCACTCCGGGGCAGGGACTTTAAGTCCCACAAACCTCTCTGTGACTATACTTTGCAATTCGTGTCTTAGGCCCTAGGCAGAAGTTTTTATCAATGAAACCAGGCTAAAATTCTAACCAGGCACTGTAACTTCAGTGCCCGTATGAGATTTTACAACCTTCCATTCATTCCCCAAACACTGAGCACTTGCTGTCAGTCAGTTACTGTGCAAGGGGCTAGAAGTCCAGGCACCAGGAACACCGTAAGGAGTATGCTCGGTCCAGCAGGCGGCAGGGGAGAGGGGAAGGTGCAATTAACATTTAAAACCAAGCAAGAGCTTCTGCTGCACTAAATGATACAGAGACAACCTCAGGATGCCCCTGAGAGGGCTGGGAGGTGGCTTCTGTGGACTGGGAGGTCGGGGAGGCAAATCTCGGAGCTGAGACAGGAGGGAGAACCAACCTTGAGAAGACTCAAGAGCCCTCCAGGCACAGGGAACAGCAGGCACACAGGCCCTAAGGTGAGGATGGCTTTGGGAAGTTCAAGGATGGATGGCAAAGCCTTAGCATCTTGGGGTACGGGTGGGGGGCAGGGATCACTCCCACATTCCCCCAGCCTGCTGTCACCAGCCTTAGAAGGGCAGTGGCTCCCATCAG